TTAGTAAAATTGAGCCAAAATGGTCTTGAGGTATATTGACAAAAATCTTCCGACTTGAAGCATTAACTATATGGTTTGACAACTTAGGCATTCTTATTGCCACAACAAGTGCAAAATTGATTCTAGGTTGACTTGCCATCTTTCAAGGAATAACAGCGCCACAACTTGCACAAGTAGTCGGATGTATCATTGAAAAGTGTGAGCTCCAAGCAAAAACGAATTGAAATAGTGTAGTAAAAATTAGAACATATTTAGCATCCTTTACTGACTTTGAACTTGACTCTTTCATTGAAACTGAATCTTGAAGTTTGCAAAGATTCTCTTTTCCCCACACACATAAGTGAAATATAATCTAGAAGTAAGAGGATTTAGGCTTCGTTCCGTTCAACTTATTTTTTCTGATCTGATCTGATTTTTTGTAGTTCTAATCTGATCTGGTCTGATCTAATCTGATTAATTATGATTTGATTTAAAATTCAAATCAATAATTTGATTTAACTTTATAATAACGTTTAAAAATTGTAATGATAATTCATATTATAATATAATCAATATTTTTTATTTTATTATTAATTTTTAATAAAACAAAATTAGTTAATTCATATATTAGAATAATCATTCATTTTATAATGTAATAATATTTTTTATTTTATGATTACTTTTTTGTGAAATAAGAATATTGATTTAGTATTTTAATCATTAGTTCATATATACATTAGAATAAATATTTCATTTATATATACATTAAAAAGTAATTAAATTTAAATAATCAATATAGAGAAGAGATAGTATTTTTATTAAAATATCTCATCCCTATAAAAAATCAAAAGTTTAGAAACACTCAAAATACAAGGTAGCAATAAAAAAGTGTTTAAAAGTAGAATTAGATTGACATTGTCAATGTATTTTAAAAATAATTTTTCTGATGTTTGATAATTAAGGATAACTTTCTCAGTGTTTTATTTAACTTGTTTCTAAAGTTTATTCTTTTTCATTTTTAAGAATAATAATAATAGTGATAATAATAATAATAATTCTCGATGGAATCTAATCTGATCTGGTCTGATCTGATTGGATCTGATCTAATTCGATATGATCTAGTTTGATCTGATCTGATTTTAATAAGAATAAGAAAAAATAAGAAAAAATATTTTGAACGGAATGGGGCCTTAGCCTAAGGGTTTGAGGAGATCTAATTTTAATGAGACTTTTTTCCCGCAATGGCGTCCTTTGATCCAGGTAGTCAATCCCACCTAGTGAGATAAAGCTTTGTGGTTGTTATTGTTGTTGAAGATTACATGGGGGTTATTTTTTTGCATTTATTCCTGTTAAAAAGAATACTGAGTGCTAAGCACACATGTTTGCACGTGTTAAGTGAAAAATTAAAACATAATATTAGCTGATATGATAAATATGTATCTACAGAAGTTGAAAACATCATTAAAAAGTAAACGAAATAAAAAGGGGTAGATAAAAAAATGGAGTACACATGAAAAAGGAGAGGAATAAATAAATAAATAAAAGCAAAGCTTACATTGGACATCCATCAAAGAGTAGCAATGAGTGGTTGTGAGTCAAGTGCAGCGAGATATAGGCGGCATCAAGATGAGGGGGAAACTAAATAAAACATCAAGGAATTTATCAAGACCTGAGCAATAGATATGAATAAGTAACATAATACCTAAAAAAGAGAATAAAAATTACAACTTCCTAGGTGCCTAACAAATACATAAGAAGAGTAAATTAAAGTTGTTCATATTAACGCGAAGTTTAATTATTTAGAGCCAAAATATTACAGTTTGGCATAAAGTTGCTGAATGTTTGTCGGCATTTATGTTTTTATTGCCTTTATTATTCGAGAAGAGGTCACTCATTTCTGCATTATTACAGTCCTGGTGGACTGAGGGTAGTTTGAATATCTAAAATATGGAAACAATTTAAAATGCATCTAAAGTCTACTTTGCAATGTAGTTTGAGTGGGTGATTTAGGTAGGAATCTTGGAAAATATAGAATTTGCTGAATATTTTAACCTGAAGGATAACTAAGTGTTGTTTTGCAGGTATATTTTCCCTTGAAAAAGAAGCAAAAAGTTAGGAAGTAATTTAAGTAGGGAGTAGAGTTTTTTTGACATTGAAAAATACCACTCTATAAGAGAACTTGTTCTAATAAGCCTATGCTGTATTCATGAATGACATAACTACCTATATTTCTCCTCAATTTTAGGTTCCAATTTTTTTGTAAATTCTGCACTAACACTTCCCAAATTCTGCAATTTATATCACCACAAACAACTGAAATATCATTCTTTTTAGTGGATGCAAAATTTCCCACTTTAGCTATGATATAGGAAGGGCTGCTCTAGACCATGGTTATCAACATGTCCTAAATGCAAAGTACACATTGATCACAAGGGAAAAAGCTATGTATGAATAAATTCAATGAAACTAATATCACATATGAGAGAAAGTGATTGCAGGTTGATGAGTGCAAAGCATCCTCAAATCAACAAAATAACATCTCTTGCGAATGTCATAATGTAGTTCATTCGAAGGTGACCTCAAATTGCTTCATCAAAAGGATCCATACAAATGCATTCTTTTATAATCATTTGGAAGGACTCACATTACGGGATAGCGTGAAACCTGATTTCGTAAATTTTAGATTAGGTTAGGTATATAGATAATAATTCTTTTAAATATTAGAAGTAAAAGTAACTCCCTGCTTTTGAGATTTAATGAGAGATCATTTGTTTCAAAACACACACACACACACACATTTATAAATTTAACAATGTCATCAACTTTACATGCACGGCTCACCAATAATCCATATAAAACATTAACAATACATCTAATGTGTGCTTTTACATTAGAATAATATTACAATGACCTTTAGCAGGTAAGTTGACAGAATACTTCAAGAAGAAACTATTTCACTCTCAGCAAATGAGACAAATAACAATATTCAAAATGTGAGAATGCTACTATTCTTGGATTTTTTACCAACACTCTTTTCCTGTTTGTCTATCTTACGATATTGTCACACTATGAACCATCTTGACACCATTATAGCATGGTTAAGTGAGATTTTAAGTTTTTAAAATTTATAAATAAGAATAGCACATTTAGTAGCCTAAATTCACTTAAATATCAATAGCACATTATCATCTGCAATTTGATCGACCTAATTTTATTTCCTTTTATCGAAGGGTAATGATTGGTGATTAAAATTATCTGCTTCATAGTAATGCAATCATCTATTCTAGATAGCACACCTGAATTCCAATCAGCATAATGATTCTGCCAATCATCTGTTAAAGCAATGGTTGATTTCTACCTCCCTCTTTCAGTGATGAATTCCAATCAACATCCTTCTTTTTCTCCGGCATATCAACATTGGTTCTATATTTCTACAAGAAAAAAGTTTTAAATTTGTAACTAGATATTACTCTTTCTGTTTTAAATTTTTTTCTCGTTTATTATTCAAAGGAATAAATTTTATTCATTTTATTTGTCTATTTTCGATGTCCATTTGATTAAATAATATAGTTATGTCTATTTAGATGTAGTTTTTAAAAATACTTGTATTATTTTTATTTTTAAATTCAATACAAACTTTAATATAAAAAACATTAAAATTAATTTTCATTAAATATCTTATTAAATAAAGAAATTTGTGAATTAGTACTCTGTGTTTTTTTGTATTAGTGTTCCAAATTCGAGTACCTATACTATGCATTTGGATGTACGGTCTTTCCTGTACATCCGCATGAATATTCATTATCGAGTAACTAAGGGGCTGTTTGTTTCAGCCTCTTAATGGTTCAGATGTCTGAATAGTTCAGCACTTAATGGTTCTGTTTCAGCTAGTTAATGGTTCAGATGTCTGAATGGTTAAGAGATTTGCTTCTGAATGGTTAAGTATTATACAGAGAATGGTTAAGACCTCTTATCTAAATTGATCAGACATTTGCCTCTGAATAGTTAAGCAATATACTAGTTCTTAATAGTTCAGACTTCTTACTGGTTCAACACTTAATGGTTCATACCTCTTACTGGTTCAGCACTTACCTATTCAGAAGTTGCCAAACAGCCCCCCTAAGTATTTATTTTTGAGCATAAATGAATTTTAGAGAAATGAGTATTCAGTTAGTCGGGAATGAGTATTCACTTGTTTGAAAATGAGCACTACATCCTGCAACCCGTTGTACGCTATATACAGATATACTAGGTATATATTGAGCCCATGTTCCAAAAGTAAAATACGAAATACTCTGTAAGTGCTTAAGTGCCAAGTTAGGTGTAAGAAAGTATCAAATCAACCCCGAAATTTTCGCATAAAACCGAGATTACCTAACTGAAAAATATCAAAAAAGAACCATACCGTTCCAAACCAATGGTCGGTCTGATATTTGGGATTGGTACGAGGTAACTTCCATACTGAAAAATCTCGAAGCGAACATATATACAAATATGGTATAAGAACAATGTTTTTATATTTCTTCATTAAAAAATAAATTGATTTTGAAAAGTTGGTTCAAGTGTAGATGAATTACAAATATTTTTTTATTTATATAATCATTTATTTGAATTTTAATTTTTTTGTAAATGAATATAAAAAAATTAACTAACATTTGAAATATTTTTTTGTTATCATTCGTTCTCTTTTGTTTGTGAAATATGAAGTATAAATTAAATTAAGTTTTGTAAGTATTGTTTGCATTTAATTATTCATTTTTCAATTGTTTATCTTTCTTTATTTGAATGTACTTTCAATTTTTTTAAAATAAATTTTTTTGTGCACTTCAAATTATAAACTATATATATATATATATATATATATATATATATATATATATATATATATATATATATATATATATATATATATATATATATATATAAATCCCAGCATAACCAAAATCGAACCATCTTGAATCAATATTTCAAAATCAATACTATGTAAAATATTATACAGAACCAGTATAGTATATGTTCTAACTAAATAGCTTACCAGTGTGCCAAATAGCCAACGCACTCCTCCCACAGGGTACGCAACGCCGGTACGGGATCAGGACGCACGGACACAGTGGGCAGGTGAAGCAGTCTGCCGCCAGTCCGCCATCGGCCAACGCGGTCGCCGCCGCCGTTGAACGCCGTTGCTCCAGTTCCTCCGCCTGTTCGTCGGAAGGTAATCCTCCATCGCTCCATTCCTCCATCTCAATGTATACTCGGTATTTCTTTTACTATTTTAGACAATTATCAAATGTGATTTGAGATTTGTAGGTTTGTCTACTGTGAATTTGTGATTAGTTTAATTTCCATACGAAGTTTGAGTTAATTTTTATTAATTTGATTAGGAAAGTGTTAATTACTACTCTGTATATTATTGGCCAATGAGTACATAATTCGGGTTATTGTTTTATTGATACATCTAGCTGAAGTGGAAGTAATCCTTAGAGTGGTTAGGTATTGGATTAGTTAGTTAGCTGATGTAAGCAAGTTAATTGGTTGTTAGATGATGGACTAGAGTAAAATCTGCTATATAAATGATTGGATGCTATGTACCAGAGAGGGATTTACGAAAATTCCACCAAATTCTTCTATCTTTCTCTCTCTTTCTTTCCCTTTCTTCTCGTTTCTGTTGTCGGGTTTGTCACCTTCCTCATTGACGAAACTAGCTTCCTCCATTGATTTAATCAGCAAGGTTCTCTTGTTTGTCCATGTTTAAGGGTAGTTTTGTTGCTAATGCTTCCGCTCCATTCAAGTTCTGTTTTTAGGTTTTTTAAAAACATTTTTCATATTATCAACTTTGGCCATCCATTTTTCAAAATTCAAATCACTCTTTTAATAATAATGTTTAAATTAATTACTCTGTAATATATTCTTGTTTTATTCCACAGAGCAATGAGATACAGGCTGATAGCATATCAGTAAAGGAATTCACCCCAGAGTAATTGACAGCTCACCAAGTCAAGAGCATTGAGAAGGTAATTATATATATACTGAAAATTGTGCAAAAAAAGCAATTGTAACTTGTAATTTTTAATTTTCACGTTATATCATTTATATCTAAGCTTTAATTTTATATATCACTTATATACTCTAGACACACATTTTTGCTGATCTTTTATTAAAAGATAGCTTCGATAAGGTAAAATCCTTCATGAGATGCAATAATCCTTGAGCAAAACTGCAAAATAAAAGTATCTTTTGCATATGTCTTTCCAACATTTTTTCTAACCAAGATTTCCATTTCAATGACAACCTTCTCCATACATGAGAATATCTTTAATCAGTTCAAAACCTCATGTACATCCATTACCTTGGCCATAGAAGCACTACTAATACGCCCTAGTGCCTGGGCCTCGCCTTGGAGAAAATCACCACCACTCATATGCAGAACCATACCCACATCGTTTTGCAGTTTGAGGGATCATATATTTGTCTATTTTAGATTATGTGATTATTTAAGTCTATTTATCTATCTTGGATTACTTTCTCTATTCTCTTTTAGTATGTCTTCTTGAAGGTAGACATGTTTTAAGGTAGACACACTCTAAGGAGTATATGTTTAAGGCACTTAATGCGACAAATTTCTTAATTGCTTCACAAAAGAATACTTTAGCATAGGGTTTCTTAATACTTTAGTTAGTTGTATAAGCATTGCTGCCATTGCAGAAGAAAGTGTCAAGGGTTGGAAAAAGTTGATGGGATGAATTCAAACAATTAACAATGAAGAAATTCACAACGAAATGATTTCATGGGGTAGGAGTGTTGGCAATGGCAGATCCAGAAAAAGTTCAGGTGATAACAAATCTTTCTAAAAGTGTCTCTCCTAGGGTTCAAATATACATCCTTTGCAAATAAATACAAAGAAGCATTTTAAAAGTGTATTAAGTCAAATGATAAAAACTCTCATGTTATTTGCAAAAAAAGTTTCCAACATGTTAAAGGTGGAAATTTTAGTTAAACCAAATTGTAATTTTACATATTACAAGTTTTAAAGTATACTTTATTCAAACTAATTTTGTTTAGAAAAATACTCCCTCAAAATCAACTACGCCTTTCTTTTTTGGGTCGCTCCCAAATAAACTTCACATTCCTTTTAAGGAAAGCGTTCAATGGTTCCCATAATTTCTCTCCCTTGTATAAATTTCATTCACACAATTTCATCTTTTCTCGAACTTTGTGAAAAGAGCACATAAAGTCTAATCTAGGATGGATGGAGTAAAAAACACAAATACACAATCAGGGTATAAGAACTCCAAACCATTAAGCTAAACACCTAATATGGAGTAACATTTATAATTTTCAAAAAACATGCAAACAGAAAAAGTCTAAATCCAGTGTTTTAGCTGTCAATCATACATGTTCTTAAACGCAAAACCATGAGCATAAACATCTTTCCCTAATCTTTCCCTAATAATATAAGGCCAAATAGCGTTAAAAGTAATGATTTTGGTCCTTTTTCCGTCATGCACTGTTTACAGAGTAATTTTCTTGTCTCTGTGCCTTGAGAATAATCACATCCACAAGCATAAAATCTTTAGTTGATGTAATCATTGCCTTTCACTTAGGAGATTACTCTTTCACACTTTTCTTCGGAATTACTTCATCAGAGCTTCATGTGTTCTAGGTGATTTTCTTCCGGAATTGCTTCATCTGGGTAGTTTTTCGATTTCTCTACTTCATTTCTTTGTTTATACTCCATATTAATAACACATACGGTCCAATTTAGATTTTGATTAAGTTATTGCTTTGTTTTGATTTCTTTTAATTCAATAAGTAAATTGATATGAAGCTTAAATTCCAACTTCCAGTTTTTTCTTTATGGGAACACAACTTTTACTTTCAGTTTTTAAAGCCTCAATTCTTCTGTTTTCTTTTAATTTCTATTCTAGTTCTCCTTATTTAATTTAGATTTTGAAATTTCTAAAATTTTGGTTTACATCTGATTGATAATGCTAAATTGAAGTTGGAATCAGCAAGTTTTAAGAATTTAGGGTTTACCTATGCCTGAATATTTATTTACTTCTGTTTTATTTGTGATTAATTGAGCTGAGTTTTCTGGCTTGTTTTTAACTGATTAAGCAGAATTGATGTTGAATTTTGTGGTTTGCTTCTGCTTGATAACAAGAAAATTTAATAAACTTAGGGTCTTTAAATTTCTATAGCTTTACTGCATTGACAAATTTATAATTGAGGCCGCTACACCGTTTTTAAATCCCAACCAAAACATATTGACATTGTTTTTTATCTCTTGTTCTTTGCTCTGTTTTTTGGAATAATGATAGTTTAATCGTAGAAGAAATAGAGGGAGTTGTTTGCTCTTTTCTAAGCTATTTGATTTGAATCCAAAATATTGTCAACCCAGTTTCCGAAAGAAGGTTATTTGAACAAAAAATCATTCAGATGGTCCATTTTCAAAGTAACTCCAATGGACATGCTTTCATTGACAATAAAATAAAAACTTTATTGCATTGAAGCATAAATGATTTCAATAGATTTATCTTTTGAAAAATTTTAAATATTATTTTAGAAAATTTGTAGAATGATTATTTAATTACTTTCAACATTGTATAAAACGAATTTCAATTACTGATGATCATTACTTTTAGGCAGTGTTTGGATATGGGAATTCAATTCAATTTTTGTATTTCAATTCTATAATTTGAAATCCCCATAATTCAAATTCCATTCCGGTGTTTGGCAAACAAATGAAATTCAAAATTCATAATTTCAAATCCAAATGTTGTTTGGGAAACTCATAATTTCAATTCTAGAATTCAAATTCTGATGTTGTTTGGCAAGTACTAGAATTTCATTTCAAATAATTAATGAATAAAATATTGTTAAAATAATCTGAAATAACATAATAACCAAATGTTTCATAAACAAAATACATATTAATGTATGACAATTTGAAAAATTAGTAATTTGAAACCAATATTTAATATTCCGTAGTTCATAACTCGATCACTCTTCCAAGCACAACAAAATCCAATCCAACTTCTCGTCTTCACGCAAATCCTTGAGCATTTGAAACTCATCTGGCATATTCATAAACTTCTTAACTGCCTTCAAAACTTGATGAAGAAATATGCCATCTACATTTGAAACAACGTCATGGATTTCTTTCCCGCTCGCCTTTGAAGTCATATTGATCTTGCTTTGAACATATTCGTTGAATGATTTCGTGAAACTTGTAACTGTCTCCGCCAAATGATTTTTCTTCACCTTCTTAAACACAGAACCTGTTGACGTGCTCATTCATTCACTCATCATTTCCTCATCCATAGCCATTGATGCTTCATCATATTGCTCCGCACCATCCCCTAATGCTCTATCCGATCCAAACTAAACACCAAAATCATCCCAATTATCTATAGTCTTATTTTTATAAGAACTTGTTGGTGGATGACCCTGCACGCAAAAAATAGTGTTAGCAACCCTCTTATGAGCTACATAGACAAGGGATTGTGATCTTATATATGAATTAATACCAAAAAATGATAATGACTGATATAAATTTAATTGATGAGACGATACACGTATCGGCTGCATCATTGACAACCTTCACAAGAAAATTGCAATATGAGCCAATCTTTCAAACTGCAATTCGTTATTTTTTTATGCACAAATCTCCTGGACTCATCTACATCTAAAACCCCTCAATAAAATAAACTAAAAACCAAATCCACTTCCAGAGAATTCTTTGATTAAGTCCAAAAACCCAGGTTCTAAATAATACCACACATTGTTATCAAGGCGTCTGGGCGAGCATTTTTGGAAGCCAAATTGGTCGCCTAGATTTTTTTTACCTCAGAGACGCGTCTACGTTTTAGAAGCGCAAGGGAACGCGCAAGATAGGGAGAAGACGAAGGAGGAGGAGAAGATAGGAAGAAGACTTATCTTTCTCGCCTATTATTTGTCGCCGGCTGCAGTGGCTTCCAGTGCTGCAACGAGTCTCTTTCTATCTCTCTATCATTTAGACTAGCGGACTAGGTCCAATAATTGGGCTTAGATTCGTTAAAAGACTATTGGACCTTTTCACAAGAGTATAAGGCCCAAGATTTAATAGGCCTTTTAAAAGCTCACTTTATTGGAGTAGGCTTATATATATATAGACACACACACACACACACATATGTATGTATGTATTTATGTATGTATATATGTATATGTGTGTGTGTGTATATATATATATATGTACAGTATAATTCTCGGTTTCATAATGTCGGTAAATGTACTTTCTAATTAATTATTTAATACCTATAAAATTATTAAGGTCACCATAGCCCACTCACCCAGGGGACGCCTAGGCGACCTTCCAATCGCCTAGGCGATTGGAAGGTGCTCTAGCGCCCAGCCTCGCCTAGCCGCCGTAACAACTATGATACCACAGAACCCCAGAGGAAAACCTGCACATACCTCCAGCTCTTTCGAGTGCAGATAAACACCAGACCAATCCCATATGGCCAAAGCTACCAAAATATTGTTTACTACAGAAACAAGAATGCAAAGGGTAAATGGATAAATCTTGGGAAAAAATAAAGAAGCAAGGATAAATACAAAGAAAAAATTGTTCTTATGAAGTGCAGTTTGCTGGGGAAAGAATACAAAACTCATTCTCTTAGACTATTTATCACACACATATGCTAATAATAACACAATTAGCAGGAGCTTACTATATCTTTAAATTTAAACATTTTACTTTGGTGAATATTTCTCAATGATTAGCAGGTTTCTAAAAGAAATAAAAAATAAGACATTCCATAATTCCAAAACCATAGACCTTCAACTGGAATGCAGCACTGTCCCTACAGAAAAAAGAATACTCCATAGAAGCCATTCAGCCCTTTTTACTTTTCCACCCAAAAACCCCTGCACCTAATTTGAATTATTCTACTCCATAAGTCCATAGTTAAGCTAGTTTTTGTCCCGGCCTATGATTTTTTCTGATGAACTACTCCCAAATTTACCAAACAATTCATTTCACAATGCATGGGAAGGAATCTCCTGCTTAACAAACTATGGTGTTAAATGAGATGGGTGCAGGCCGCAGGGTGCTCACTACTTGGTGGCTTCAGTATATCTTGTCTATGAACTTTCCTCTTTGCAAAATATGACTACCCTCATAACATGGTTGCCTAAGTATTGCATGATTGAGCTATAAAGATAGACAGTCTAGCAAGCAATATAATTGGTTTATCGGAAAAAATGCTCAGTTTAGCTACAGATACAAACATGTACCCACTAGTACAATAGGTTCATCCATTTACAACTAAAAGCTTACAATAATTTTCAATTCTGAATGTGTTTGGTATTCCAAACAAAGACACTCACACACACACACACTGCTTGGCCACAACAAAAATCACAACTCATCATATATCCCCATTGGGATAATAAATCAGAGCCAATAATGAATAAACCTCCCTAGGAAGCCTCCAAAAAACAATAAATTCGGATTGTTTTTTTAAATAAACAAACGGAAATAAATTAAATTAAATCTTCTACCATGATCCATTCTCTTTTTATAAATAAACCTATATATAGGTGGAATTGAATAATTGAACAGATCGGCCAAGAAAATAAAATAAACTTGTGAATTGGATTATATATTATTCCGGTACGATTTATACCCTGAAGGGAAGATGGAGGCCGAGGAAAAGCCGATAGAAGTCAGAAGATGTGGGAGTGTCGGATTGGAAACTCTGGCGGCAAGAGCTGGGATACGGCGAGGGAGGAGATTGTGAGTTGGCGCAGGAAGAGAGATGGAGGAGAGATTGGGACCTTGGCCGCAATCGATGATGTGGGAGTGTGGGATCGGAAGAGATCTGTGTGAAGTGGGAGTGAAGGACGAGAGATGGGTAGCTATCTTTTTAATTAGGCTAGGAATTCAAATGACATAGGGCTGGATATGAATTTGTAATTGGGTTGGTTGATAATTAAAAGAATTTGAATCAAATTCAAATTCTTTAGATTGCCAAACAAGATATTTGGACCAAATCAGGATTTCAAATCCAAATCCATGTTCCCAAACAGGCCATTGAAAAGCTTTCGTGTATGTAAAGTCAAACTCTTCGAATTATATTGACTCAGATTTTTTTAAATATTTTTTACGATGTTGGGCACCACTCGCACAAAGTGTGGTTTAGGCTAGTACACTTCATATTGAAGTAAACCTACAAGCCTAAACAGACAGGGTTGGTCTGTAAGGCTTCCATTTTGCTTTGATTTTTTGTCATGTCAACTTGGAATAGTTGCAATTTATTTTTGTTTGTGTGGAGTGATTAACTCATTATTGTAGACAAAGCATTTATTTTCTTTCTATGTATGCACAATTTCCATCCTCTATGCTTATATGCTGCTATTTTTGGACAAAATATACCCATATGTTGTTTACCCTGAATTCCAGCGAGCATACCAATACATATACTATCACTCATTAGCAAAAAAACTGGTTTTCAGTTTCTTCTCTCAGTGGTAGCCTTGTAGGAGTTTCTTGAGTGGGTTGTTGTTGGTGTATGGGTCAGTGTATGGGTCTTTGGGTGAAAATGATTTTGTTTGAGAAAACTTCTGATTTTTATTTCTTACATGCCTGCTGCGAAACTAATTTTAATTAAACTTTTCGTTTTTACAGAGATGTTGAAGGTTCAGAGTTTTTTCTCACATCTTCCCGACAGTTTTTATCTTAGAGCCCCTTCTGTGATTTCATTAATAGAAACAAAACATACTTTACACCTTGTATCTACAATTAGAAATCAGCTTCGAGCTCGAGCTTTCTCAACAATTTCAAGTCGCGATCTTTATCTATTTAACTCCAAAAATGGCGAAAAAGAGAAGTTTACTCCTACCGTGCCTGGTAACGTATCAATTTACCTATGTGGTGTGACTCCATATGACTATAGTCACGTTGGCCATGCTCGTACCTGTGTTGCTATGGATGTCCTCTTTAGGTATTAATTCCTACTTTGCGTGTTATTTCTTTTATTTATCTTACAAATTTGGTTTCCTCATTTTTCTGTGATAGAAACTAAAGATGGACATTATATATGAATTAGGCTAAACGAACAACCATTTTGGCCTGCACATTAGTTTCTATCATTGTGTTGTAAAACTTTGTCTTGCTATGCTGCTATGATTTGTCTCACATGGTTGGCCGAAATAGGTTTTCAAAGAAGAGTTTCTTATTATATTGAGTACACAAGTAGAACAGTAAAAGAGAAGAGCTAGAATATAGATGGAGTTCCAAACATCTGGCTGCTCCAAACCCACTCTTTATATTGAAATGAACTATTTTTCCTTATACATTGGCTCTTAATGAAGTTTTTATGCACTTGAACTTTTTCGGTATAATGTATTGATTTGTATGTAGATTAGTGGAATGCATCAAGTAGATTAGTGGAATACATCAAGCACTTACATGCTTGCTCTATATGTGTGAAGTTGCATGTTAGACTCTCACTATATGCCATTATTTTATTTCTTCCGTTCGCGATTAAATTTAACTCAAGCTTGAAATTACTATTAGATACTTAAAACACAAGAACTATGCAGTCAACTATGTAAGGAATTTTACCGACATCGATGACAAGGTAAGATAATTCTCATTTTGAAGTCTTTGATTATATGCTTTACAAAATCTATTTGTTGACATTAAATTATAGGTTTCAGTAACTTGGTAGTAAATCCTTTTTCTTTTAATTTTACATAATCTTTTAACTTCTTTTTTGGTAGATTATTTGTAGAGCAAACCTATTGGGTGAAGACCCATTAGCTTTAAGTAAGAGGTTTAGTGAAGAGTTTCTTCATGACATGTCTGAGCTTCAATGTCTCCTTCCTACTTACCAACCCCGAGTGTCTGATCACATCAATCAAGTTATAAGTTTAATACTTCAGGTGTTTCTCTTTCTTTCTTTACCCTGTAATCTATATGGTGAGACCGATTTCACACCCTGAATGGCTAAATCCATGTTTTCTAAATCCACCCTCTAAATAAAATCTACTCCCTCCGCCCCCATAGATCTTCTCATTACGCGTTAACGAGGCTTGACACACTTTATTTTCAATTCAATTTATTTGATTGTAGGTGTAAAATTTAAAAATAAAGCTTGTTGGAGTAGTAAAAAACTACATGAAAATTTCTACAAAACAAGAGGTGACAAGTGAGTTAAGTTTTACCCTGTGAATAGTGTCTTAGAAGATCTATGAGGGACAAAGGGAGTATCAAATTTATATCCATAAAAGTGGGCTTAACATATTTTCATGAGAGTGGATTTCACCGTTTAGAGTGGATTTAATCTCACCCTAGTATATGTATGTATCAAGTTACAATTATTTGGTTTTCATGGCAGATTCTAAGGAATGGTTGTGCTTATGTAGTTGAAGGAAATGTGTATTATTCAATAGACAAATTCCCAAACTATGGTCACTTAACAGGAATGAAGTCAGAAGAAAATATATCTGGTATACGAGTTGAACTTGATAAAAGAAAGAAAAATCCAAAGGATTTTGTTCTGTGGAAGGTAAAATTTTATGTTTACATGTTCGTTGGGATAAATATTTATATTTTTACCTAGAAAGGAAATATTATATAATGCAGGCTGCAAAGGTAGGTGAACCAAGCTGGGATAGCCCATGGGGTGCAGGAAGACCTGGATGGCACATAGAGTGTAGTGCACTTAGCTCTCATTACCTTTCTTTTTCATTTGATATCCATGCAGGGGGAATGGATTTGATGGTCCCACATCATGAGAATGAGATTGCCCAGAATTGGGCTGCTTGCTCTGAGAGTAATATAAGCTACTGGATGCATATTGGTACCGTCACTAAGAACAATCGTAAGATGTCAAAGTCAGATGGAAATTTTATCACCATTCGTGATGTGGGTTGTCTTTGACATGTTTTGTTTCTTCGAATTAAAAATTTGTTGTACATCTTGCATGTATTCAACTGTTTTATTGAATTTCCGTAGGTCACTAAAAATTACCATCCCTTGGCACTTAGACATTTTTTCTTGCGAACACATTACCGATCAACGGTTGATTATTCATCTTCACAAGTTGACACTTCATCCGAGGCTGTTTTCTACATTTATCAGGTATAAAGAGTATTGTATGATCTGTTTTGTATTAATTTTATCAATTTTTTCTCCTTAATGTTTTTAGATTGCATTAAGCATTAAAATTTGAATGGGTGTAGCCGTGTAGGTCAAATGTGTGTAATTGGATTACTCGTTGCTTGATCATACGTTTTACATTTCTGCTGCATTATCTGTTACGTTGCTTATGATACTGAAATACACTTCAATGACAGATTATTCATGCTATAGAGAAGAGGTAAATATATGTTTTAGTCCTAACAAGAAACAGAATCAACATAGAAGGAAATGACCAAATCAGTACAATGAGAAGCCCAAGCCTTGAGCATTTGGTAGCTCACCACCCTAATCATTAACAGAACTCTGCTTACCTTTCTTTTCCTTCTCATTCTATGTATTGAACCCCTAATAGCCTTCCTCATGCAACAATCATGCTAACTCGGCAATCTTGTTGTGTTGATCAGCTTTAACAACTATGATCACATTCTCATTTCCTCTATTCCCTGAAGTGCCCTTATACTTCTTTTCTACAATTTTATCCCACCCTTAGGGAATGTATCTCTTATAGATACATAGCCCATTAGGAAATAGGCTCTCTACCTTTTAGGTAGGGGTAAAGTCTGTGTACACTCACTCTCCTCACACTCACTTATGGGATTTTACCGGGTCTTTGTTGTTGTATACTTCCCTTGTAAAACTTACTTTTTTCATTTTGTTGAAGCATAGTTGTAAATATGAGCTTTCAAAATGTGCATTTAAACATTTTTATAAGTGGCCGAATCAATGTTTTTGCCCGTTGTGTTCTTGTTAACTCCAATGTGAGTTTGACTCTTCACCCTTGAGAATAACTTAATACTTCCTCCGTTCTTGAAAACACTTCCGCCCTTATTTTTTGCGCACCCTATAAAATACTTTTACTCTGCCTAAAATGTCTAAAATACCTCCAAAACAATTTCTACCCACAATAAACTACATAATGGGATGTATATTAGACATTTTAGGTGGAAGTAAAAGTATTTTATGGGGTACGCAAAAAATTAGGGCGGAAGTGTTTTTAAGAACGGAGGGATCATTTATTTGGCGAGAAATATGAGTTCTTTTTTAAAATTAAGTTGTGAAAATAGAGGATATGAAATTGATTACTTAGAGAGGTATCATTGTATTTGGGAATTTTTATCTCATTGGGAAAAGGAGTTGGTAGATTTCAAAAAAATATCCCAAAAAAAGAAGGGATGATTAGCTCTCTAAACCCTTTACTTTCTAACTCGCAAACAAAGCTTAAATGACTGCTAGAATTTTGTATTTAGTTTTTACCCCATGAACAAACAATAATAATTATTTGGTGACCAGACCTTGCAAGATTGCCAGGACATTATATCAACAATCCATGGAGACAACAGGTACGAAGGGGTTGATATGAGTTTTGGAGCCGTTGAACTTACACATAGTGCTCAAAATTGTATTGACAAGATGCACAAGGAGTTTCACGGAAAAATGGCAGATGATTTGCACACATCTCATGTGTTAAATGTTGTTCTTCCAGAGGCCTTAAAGTTTGTGAACAGTATTTTAAACAAGGTAACCGTTGTTTCTATGCATCTCTAAACTTTTCCAAATTCTAAACACTAATCTATGTTTCTTACTCTTCTAGAAGAAGCATGATATATCAATGTGTCAATTCTTTATGGAGATCGAGAAAGAAATTAGAGAAGTACTGTTCGTTCTAGGATTATTGGCACCATTCCCTTACTCTCAGGTACTGTATAATAAAATTGGTAAAAATTTGTGGCCCATCACTTTTGACACCAAAGAAGGATTTCACTAACAAAAGTTGAGACATCTCATAGACAAAAGTTGTCTACGATTTTTTCTTCTTCGGTGTCAAAAGTGATATGCACCAAAGTTTTTGCTTGGTATACAACTTTTTTTAGTCAGCCTGCAGAAACAAGGTTATAGGTGCGGAAAAACAAAGTTTTCAACTGAAAATTATTCTGTTTTTCCTGTTGTAGCTGAAAACTTTGTTTCTCTGCAGGTTAGTTGAAAAAAGGTTGTCCAAGTACAAAACCAACTGGTTGTATAATTAGCATTAGTTTTGAATGGGTATTATTGAGTTTTGCGGTTTTGCCTAATCTCAATTAATTTTACAAACAGGTTTTGCAAGAGTTGAAGCACAAAGCACTCGTACGAGCAGGATTAGTTGAAGAGGACATTCTTCGTTTTATAGAGGAAAGAGCTTTGGCAAGAAAACATAAAGATTACTTAAGAAGTGATAGAATTAGAGATGAATTAGTCAGAAAAGGCATAACTTTAATGGATGTTGGCAACGGAACGATTTGGAGGCCATGTCTCCCTAGCCAACATTAGTTTTGGATAACATATGCTACTCCAAGAATAATTTCAAGTCATTGGTAAATATTTAGCTTGCAGGCTGAATAAAGTTGTTTATGTTCTCAAGCTTTTCTTGTCTCTGGTATTATTACCGCAGGCAAAACTGGTTGTACCCTCTTGGTACAGCCAATGACAATTTTGGAAATTTCAAACACTTTGAGTTTAGAAGTTGTGATCTGCATCTGGTTTTCATCCAGCGCCCTACCAATTCAAAGGTGTGCTTCCTAGGATCCAACTTTGTCGGAGTTCACCTCTTCCAAGTGGGTTGTTTCTTTCCAGGTGATTTTCTATGACATGAGGCATTATTCTTTAGAAAAAATGCTTGGCGAACCCCACATGGGCTACACCAAATGTACGCCAAGGCAAAAATAGACACACACAGACACTGAGTTTTTGTGCATGCACAAACATTGAGTGTCTGTGTGTGCCTATTTTTGCCTTAGTGTACATTTTGTGTACCCCAAGTGGTGTTCCCTTAGCACTCCTTTATCCTTTAATGACCCTCTGGGACATGTCTCATAAACATCGAATATGTCCGAATTGTGAAGTTATGATATCTGCAACAAAAATGCTAGGAACTTACCACGCGTGACTCCACGAATGACAATCACCGGTGATTTATACATACACAGACATTTATCGTTTGTGAACATAGATGATTAAAGTATAAAATCATCTGTGATTGTGATTGTCATTCATGAGGGCAACAGTGGTGGACTTCTAGCATGATCCAATCTGCAAAGTGATGAGTGACGCTGTTGCTACTGCGTTGTGGCACCAAAGACAAATGAAGAAAATGAACAGCTCCTATATGACCATTGTGTAATGGGGTTATCAAATGTGTATATACTAATTTTAGAATTTGCTTGGTGTGAATATGTCGAGTATTGTGTAATTATCAAATGCGTACATATAAATTTTATAATTTGCATTTGTCTTAATAAGTTGAGATAAAGAAAGGCCGTATATGTCAAAAAGGCCATATATTGTCATTTTTTACTTCATCGTATTTAACTAGTCAGTCCATTACTAGTAACAGTTCTTTATCCACTTCACCACCTATATAGTTTAAGTTTAATTGTTTCATGTTCTAATAAATTTTTAGAAGTATAATATATTTTTTCTTTGCATAAATCTCAACTACATACTTTAACCGTCCATTTTATTTCTTCTTATTTGATATTTCAAAGTCTGCGATGAATCACTTTGTCATTAATACTTCTATTTATATATAGATATACTCCGTACATTATAAAAAATTAATATATTAAAATAATGTTTAAAAATGAATTTATTGAAATTAAATATATATTACAATTCATTGTATTTTTTTTTGTAATTTATGAATAAAATTTATAAATGCTAATAATGAAAAATAAAATGAATGCATACAAAGTTGACAGAGTAATTTTTATTTTGTTAAAAAGTATGCTTTGTAAATCGAGAACATAGAAAGCGAGTACATATCAATACATTTTTGAAAGAGCTATCATGAAAATATTCACCAACAAGTGTAGTAATTCCCGTGAATGGTTTTGGTGGCAAGCAAATCAAATCGAACTCTCTTCACTCAAAATTATTGTCCCATTTTCGAATTTTTTAATCAAACGGAGTATAATATTTTTTTATTACAAATTGAGAAAAATATATTTACTTATAATACTTTGTATAAATTTAATATAATAATTAGGTTGCATTTAAGATCTACTCTTTCCGTCCTAAAAAGAGCTACATGTTGTTTACGGAGTTTTACTGAAGTTATTTTTAATTCAATTTATTTGAAAATTAATAAGGAATTAAAAAATGAAATTTATATATTTAAAAACAATATCAAAAGTTCTACAAAATAGAAGTTGACAAGACTATATTATTTTCTCAAATGGGTTAAGAATGTAGTTAAAACTTGACTATGTGAATAGAAATGATTATTTCTTTAAAACTATCGATTATTTAATTTGTAATTAAAGAGTATCATAGCTAGACCAAAAAGTCAAAATGAGACAATAGTTCTAGGACAGATATAGTATTGAGATATTTAATTCAAATTCAACTAATTTTAAATGTATTCACATCAAAGTTTTGAATTTAGTGTCGATTGATTCCTATATCGATTTTGAAATGGATTGGTATGCACCGTATCGGCACCAAATTTCTCATACCAAAACCGTAACAACATCTTTAGTGAGATTGCTTAGGCTTGTTAAGCTAAGAAACGACTGCTTCTGTAACGCCTCGAAAATAGGCATATCAGAATTAATTAATTGATAATTAATTAATTACTAAACATGACCCAAAAATAAGTGATTTATAAAGTTTGTCAATAAATAATGAAAATTATATCATTATGTAGAGTTTGATTGTCTGGCCCCAACGATTCAATCGGATTTCAATTCGAAGAAAGTTGAACCAAAAAGTATACCCCGACTGGGACCAAATTAGTCCCAATCAGAGAATTAATCATCAACGGCGCCCTGTTCAATTATGCTGATTCCAAAAATGCAGAAGCAATCAGGAACCAGCTGGGCTTGGCTTCATTCTCCTCCTCTTCACTATATAAAAAGACCCTTCCACCCAAATTCTTCACCATTCTTCTTCATTTTTCCTTCTTAGTGTTCTTGAGAATGTGAGGAGTGTTGTGGTGCTGTTATTTTGGTGTGAAGTCTCCAGAGTTGAGAGTTATCATCACCGGAAGTTTCGCCGTTCTTACACCGGAATCTTCGTTTAGCTTCGAGGTAAGCTCGTAGATATATCCAATGACTAGAATGTTTATATAAGTCGTTTTTACATTCATAAATGGTCATTTTGTTGAGTTTTATGTTTGACATGCTTGAAGAACTAAGAATCATAAAATTTGAATTTGATGTTAAAATTAGGAGCTAATGTTACCAAAATGATCTATGAACCTTGGAGAACATTTCTATATAGTTTAATTGAAGTTTGGTAACTAAAAATGACATTTCTGAAAATTAACCCGAGGTTGAAGATGACACTGTTCAAAACTATGCACAGAGCAGTAGTCTGCTACCGCTCGGACAGTACCTTGGTACCGCTAGGACGGTAGGCCGTACCGCCGGAATGGTAGGGTAGGGGTAGCTACCGTCACCACCTCCAAATTTGGTTCCCTCTAGCGGTACCTGATGCCAAACGGTACCCTGTACCGTTTGGGCAGTACCGAGGTACCGTTAAGGGTATTGTCTGTCCAGAAAGAATTTCAAAAAATCTAATCTTTGAATTGTCAAATCCTATTTTTGATACCAATTAATTATAACCATATTTAATATGATTTATGGAAATGAATATGATGTTTTGATAAACCTAAGAATCTTGCTTGATGCATGACGGTAAGCTAGGGTGTTAACACTCGACGCTAGACCACTATTTTCTATTTATGATTATATGAATTGATTGTTGATTATGATAAATATTATGGATTAATGATGATGAAGATTCTGAATGGAGTAACGGTCATGAATTGGTGAACTAAGATTCAAAATAAATTGTATTCTTAAGGCTCTTTAGAAGACCTCTAAAATAGACCTCAGATTAGAACGAGCCTTGTGGGTATAAATATGTATATTCGGTGGCGTTAGGTAAAAACGTACGTACGAGGTCCATAAACCAAATTTGAGGATCACTCGTTTGGGGATACCACCCAACCAGACAGTTAGTATTCTACGGTTCGGTTTTTCTGGATTGTACCTTAAGCGAAGGCTAGTTTAAGAGTTGGAAAATCTTTTGGAAAATATGTACATGAAACTATGACCTAGCTTAATAGTTGGTTAGAAGTACCTTAAACTAGACTTAGTTTAAGAGTTGGTAAATAATATAAGTGATTGACCTTAGACTAGGAATAGTTTAAGAATATTGTTGAATATTAATGTTGAATATTGAATAGTGAATATTGATGAATGTTATGTGCATGATATCAAATGATTTAATTATGAATTGAGATTCAATTTATATGGATGTTCGACTCTTTAGATATGCTTACTTAGCTTTACTGTTGAACGTGTAGTGTGTTTTATTTGCTACACGCAGGTAGGCAGAATGAATGATTGGATTATTTCTAGTGGCAAATAGGGTGAGATGGTCGAAAAGGATGTGTGAAGCAAATTACTGTTGAAAATGACATAAATTTTATTCTGATTTTATTTCATAAATTAATTCGCTTCCGCAACATTTTAAATACTCCGTTATTATCCAGAATTATTACTATGAAATGAAGTTAAATTGTTTGAAATGTTTTTGAATGTTTACGATTACCAAGTTAATACTTTAGTCCGAAAGAGGCTGCAGACCTGGACAGATTAGGGTGTTACAGCTTCTCTTAACAATTATTTTTTAAAAAGAAGCAATTGGTGCTCCACATGATGCTTTACATTAGTTTTTTATGTGAAACAATTTGACTACAAATTAAGTATAATTCTAAATAAGTAACTATTATAAAAATTGATATATCTATATCGTAAAATTATTCCAATTATATTAAATTTTCATTATGACTAAGGGTAAGACTAAATGTACTCTCAAAATTGCTAAATACACTTCTTTCATCCAAATTTGCTAAATCCGCTCCTATTCATTTAAATTTGATATTTACTATCTAGAGTGTGGATTTAGCAAATTTTGATGGAAAGAATGAATTTTGTTATTTAAGGGGTGAATTTAGTTTTACCCTAGGACTAAATATGAAATATATACTCCCTCCATTTCGGAGTATTTGTCTACTTTTAGTTTTTTTTGCTCAAAATTGGTAAACTTTGATTTCAAGTTAAAGGATATTAGATATTTATACAAAAATATTTTTATTAGATTTATTATATCAAATATTATCAAAATATCATTTAATCTAATTAATATATATTTTATTTAATTATGATTCAAAGGTTAAAATAATTGACTAAAAAAATTAAAACAAGAAAAAATATTGAGGAAGGGAGGTAGTATAATTTTAGCTATTTATTGCCAAAGTAATCACGGGAGTTAAATTAGGAGGTTTTAATCCGGAGAGAGTGACTTTTTGGTTTGTTTAGCACATGCTAACCACAGGAAAATCTGCCTGGCCAGTAGCCGATCAGGACATCAGGTGAAGTGACGCACATGCTGATTAAAATGGCATAAATTTTGGAGTTTTGGAACAAGAAGTCAAGTTTTGGAAAAAAGAAAATAAATTAAAGTAACAAGTAACAACCTTGTTAGCACGTTAGTTATTCACCACCGAAAGTTAACCCCTTGGTTAGTATCACATTCCGAATCAATGTCATGAGATGATTCGGGATACTTCGTTGCCGCGTTAAAAAAATTGACAATTTCTACCCTTTCTAACCCTCTCGGTAATGCCTCCCACTCCACCACGTCCCGATCCGAACACACCTCCTCACTCTCTTCAATTGCACCTCCAAGTTAATTTTGACTTTGGACTCAAATTTTGACTCCAAAGTCAAATTTAACTTAGAAAGTGCAATTGAAGGGTATTTACCGGGGATGTGTTCAGGTCGGAATAGGGTGGGGAGGTTTATCGGGAGGATTAGGGGGTAGGAACCGTCAATTTTACGAACGGGGCACCGGAGCACCCCGGGTTATCCCCTGACATTGGTTCTCAATGTCATTTGAACCAAGGTGTTCACTAATTGCACTACTTAGACACCATATTTTTCACAGATACACTAATGAAAAAAATGCTTGTATTATAAATGTATTTTGAGCTATGCCTCTATAAAACCTAATATACAAGTACGCTAGGCATACAAGAAAGTGAAGAAACATTTTCCATAGAGAGAAATAAAGTAGAGTAAAAAAAGGAGAGAATGTGGCGAATTGAAAAGTGGCGTAAGGAAAGAATGTGGCGAATTGAAAAATAACCAGAATTGAAAATCTAGTTCATACTCGGCTAAGGACTCAAAATGTAACACTTTCCCAAACTTTTCTAGTCTCGTTTTGATTAAGATATTTCCCAAAAAAATATAGGCGGTGTTTGGAAGTTGACAATTGGATGTTGATTGTTAACTGTAGGGTATTGATTATGTCAAGGAATCAACTCAACCAAAAGCTCAAGTTTGTGGTTGTGGCCCAGGAATGATTATTATATACTCTAACACGCCCCTCACGTGCAGGCGTGACCTTTTTTTAGCCTTGCACGTGAAATCTTAATTTTTTTAAAACTGGGTGGCGGTGAGTTTCGAACTCGTGACATCTTGGTCATCAAGGCTCCGATACCATGTTAGAATTCAGGATTGGGTATGGACAACTGAATTGGGTATGGTTAGTGGAGTTAGCTATTTTGATGAATCGATTACATTAGCTGTTCACAGAAAAATATTTGGCATACGTAGCTGCTTTTGAATAGCTGTTGTTGATGTAATTATGTTTAAACATTTAATTTTATGTTTATGATTTGTATAATATAATATAATTTATATAAAACTTATAATATGTAAGTTTTATAATATATAACACTTTTTAACAAATTATATTTATTAAAAAAATTATTTAATATGTAAGTTTTTTATTTTTGTACCAATTTTTGAATAAAATATTTTTATAAAAATTTTTTACCTTGTAAATTCTTAATGAATTTCATTTAGGGAATGAAAAAGTAGTTATTAGTTTCTCATTTATTTATTTGTTTGTTTTGTTTATATATATATATATATATATATATATATATATATATATATATATATATATATATATATATATATATTGAAATATCTAAATAAAAGGTTATACCACTCGAGAAACCTCGCAATGCTAGGTCACACACGCTGAATAGAGATCTTTAACAAGTATGCTGATTGGTAGGATGATATGACACACACAGTGTTGTAACACTCACACAAACATGCAAAGCGGATAAAGAAATAAAGAGGCGCACACACAATATGTTTACGCAGTTCGGAGCTGAATCTCCTACGTCTGCGAGGCCCACGTTCGTGTAACAGTCCTCCACTAGTTCATCGTAAGTTTTACAACAATCAAACACAAGAGTGACTTCAAGAGTTTTGACTATGGAATACCTACGAATGACCTCAGGTGCTAAACACTGATTGCACCTGTCTCCACGACTTGTTACACCCACTCTGGTTTCTTCCTAGGACGTGTTGATCAGCCTTCTCTCTAGGGTAACGAAGCACAGTGCTCAACTCCTGGATCAGTGTGTCTTCTTGAGGTTGTATGCCATATGCTTAGCAACCAGATTCTTCAAATCTGAGTTCACAACCTCAGAACCTCACGCTAGGATGAACAATATTGCATGAACTCTTATCGACCTGGTTTCTCCCTTGTTTTACTGAAGCTCTCGCCCTTTTCTTAATGGAGTCCCTACCTCCGTTTTCTCTCCAACGATATATTTATATATCACCTAGCTGTCAACCCTAGCACATTGCTTGAAGGACTCTTGGTGTTAGAGAGGTTTCCAGGTTACGCAACTCCGTAGCTCGTGACTAGTCAAGTAATCCAAGTTTTCGTAACTCGAGGTTGCAACAACTCAACTCGTCCAGACTCCTTGAGACAATAGGCTTGCAACAATGGTTTGCAACAATCTCCAACACGTCCAGACTCCTTGAGACAATAGGTTGCTCTGAACTCCGATCTCAAATAGGATGACAGACCTCAATGCTATAACATCTACAAGAACATTATTCTTTAACTAATGTGGTTGTGTGCCGTCAAAAAATAATGCCACCAAACTAATGGATGCCATAGCTAACATATATTCATTTATTTAATATTTATGCAGTAAATAATTATACTCCAACAACCAACTCGAAAGGCTACTCCTAGTTTTTCATATTTTGGCTTTCGGACCAAATCACTCTATTTGGCCAATCTGATTGGTAAAAACAACCAAAATTAGTAAAAAGAACCAAAAGCCATCGAAAAAGTCAATATTTGAACATGCCCATATTACTGTAGAAATTATTTGTGAAATGATTTATACATATTAATAAAAATTTTAAGATATTTAATATAATTATTGGAATAGTTAATGATTATTATATATTAATAAAATTCATCACTTTATTAATATATTATTTAAAATTAGTTTTTATTTTTCCTATGAAAATAAGAAATTAACTAAGTGAGTGCAAACTTTTCAAACACATTAGTGATGCGTAAAAATCGTGAATAGATCGGAGGAAAAATTAAAGGAATATTAGTGAGAGAAACATCATTATTCTAAATATTAATTAAACACTTCTATAGTACCCGGAGTATAATTTAGTTAGGGGAATTTCTTCCATGCCTTTGTTAATGAAGGGGCATGGATGCTCTTCCCCTAAATTGCTTCCATGTGTACTTTTTAGTCACATCATTTTAACTTTTAAAATTGCGTAATGACCATACCTCTTTGTCCTTAATTAATTTAACTCATCTAAACATGCTAATGTCATTTAAAAAAATATTTTTTTTAAATTGAATAAATCCTTCTTTTCCAAAAAAAAGGTTTTCATTTGATTTATTAGGATCAAAATTAAAAACTTTGACCATGAAATTTAAAAACAATATGTTGAATAATAATATAAATTTAATAATATTTGATTTGTCTTTAACTATAATTTTGAAATTTAATAAATAAATAAATACATACATACATACATACATACATACATATTAGTGGTTAAAGTGTCACATAGAAGACCTAATAGTTTAAAAAGTGTAATCTCACTAATTGATCAACAAAAATCGATGTTTGACTAATGGTTTTTTCACTTGGGTGTTTGATCCGAAAAGCCAAAATTCAGAAAGCCAATATTTGTGAGAGAAACATCATTATTCTAAATATTAATTAAACACTTCTATAATACCCGGAGTATAATTTAATTAAATCTAAAAAAAAGAAGGATTTCGATCGGGGTGTGACTTGTGACCATGGTATACCATCCTATATTCTCATTACTCAGTAATATAAATATTTTTTATCATTGTACAGTAATATTTTTCATGAACGGAAAATAGTACTTCAATTATGTCGATTGTAGAGTAAGAAAATGTGACTCAGAAACAGAACATACTCTCTACATAATTAACCTTTATTTATCATAATTTAATTATTGCACATAGTTTAACAAAATACTCCGTTACGTAATAATAAAATAAAAATTAAATTACTCCGCGTATGATTGATATGGATAGAGAGAAATGATGAATACTCCGTACAAAAAAACAACATATAATAACGGCAAGATTTCCTTGAGATTGCGGGCAATGTCATATATAATAAAGCAGTATTCATCGGGCCGGTTCAATTCGATTCAATGACTTTCTCCACATTCTGACCGCCGCCGTGGCCACGGCCACGGCCAGCCCGCTTCCCTCCACCACCGCGCTTAGCGGTGTTTCTTGGGAGGGGGAGTATGTTGTCCACACACTTTCTGATGCTAAAGTCATCAGTAGTCCCGTCCTTCCTCAGGATAAAGAAGCATTTCTCGTTAAACTTCGGGTGGAAGCGGACTTGAAACCCGCCCGCCCCGCACCCGATCTTCCGCTCCGGCTCCGGGTGCCCCTTCCCGATCAGCTCCAGCAGCACCATGTGCTCATACCTGTTCACATTGACATTGGGAGACCATGAACTCAGAAGCCGGTGGAAGTAACGGAACATCTCCACCGATGACCCGAACCTCTTCGGGCCAACCGTGACCGGACCCGATACGTTGTCCTCCCCGACCGCCTTCTTCAACGAGTCGCCATTTTCGTCGGCCTCCCGAGGTCGCTTGGTGGCAGCAGCTGCCACTGCCTCTGTTGATATGGGGGGCTTCGTTTCAACATCCATAGAAACAAATTAATTAAGATTAGCTTCTGATGATAGGTGATGGGTAGTTAATTCAGTTGAAAAAGCTCCAAATTTATTATTTAGTCATTAAAATAAGGATGGAATGCGTAATGCACTGTGTACATGGGATTTACCAAATCGAGTATTTATTTGTGGGGAAAAGAGTTTTTTCCCCGCTGAATTGAAGGAATGGTTTGAATTTGCCAAAACAACCATGATAATGGTCTGATAAAAGAATCACGTTAGAAAGACTTCACCCTACCCCGTTTGATTGAAGTTATTCTCAAATTATTTTATATAAAAAATGGTATAAAATTTAAAAATTAAAATTACATATTAAAAACTATATCAAAAGATCTACAAAATTAGATGTGACATGACTATATTATTTTATCAAATGAGTGACGAAAACAGGCCAACAAATTGAATAAAGTTTGCCCATGTGAATAGTAAACAGAAAGTTTATTTGTGAACGGAGGGAAAGTATTTTTATGAGTTCGTAATTGAGCAAATTTTGTGTGACAGAATACATACATAGACTTTTTTATAGTGCCATTAATAATCCATGGGCATGATGCCCCTCCATATAAAAATTGACATGTGGATTTATATTAATTTTGTTGTCATCTAAATTAAAAAGACTCTTTATTACTTTAAGTTTCAAAAATTAGAATATGACCACTTCTCTTTCACACATTTTCTTTATCAACTTCTTATTAAGGTTTAATTTTTTGATCAAATACTCCGTATTAATTTATTAATTAATTTTATTACATTATACTCCGCATGTCATTAACTGTTAAAAAATCAAATAATTTTTTATATAATAGTCAATTTTCCATAATTATATATCTTTGAAATGACATTAACAAGCACGGATATTTAGTTTCTCAATTACTTATTACGGAATAACTTATAACAACTCAATATTATTATTTGTAAAATAATTTATTTACTGCTACACTTTATAAAATGTAGGATAAATGATAAAAAATAGTAATAAAAAATAAAATGAAAGAATAAAATAAAAAACACTGATAATTATTATTCTAAAATAGATAACAAAATAAATTTAAAAAAGAAAATCTAGAATAAAAACTAAAAATAAAATATGGAAAAACGAAATGAAAAATTTAGAACATTCAGAAAAGAGTTTTATACAAAAATAAATTTTTTGAATGCCTAAAAAAGTCCTTAGAATTTTTATATTTTTATTTATTTTGTTTCTTATTTTATTCCTCATTTTTTAAAATTATCAAAAAATGTTTTTACCTTTTTATTTTGGAAAACAAAAAACAAAAGTTGTTAATTTGAGACGTATATATGCAGTATATGTTAATTTGTTTTCAAATAAAAATAATTTTGAATTTTATAATGTTTTTTAAAATAAATTAAAGAACCTTGATTAATAAAAGAAATACAAATAAAGGAAAAAAAAGGGGGAAAACAGAAAATAAGATATGAGCACTAGTGACCTCTATATTCAGAAAATACACACTAATGTCTCCTTATTAGTTGAAAAAATGACCAAAAAATAATCAGAGCAAGTATAAGTACAATATTTTGAAACAACATAAACTTTGAAAATAAATTTTGAAAATAGAAGAAAACTAGTACCTATTTTGCAAATCACGAGAGATATTGGTACTATTTGGCCACTCATACTCTTTATGTGTATAGTTATAGGATACAATAGTATCAAAGATGATGTAGTCCGTGAGCTCTTTTGTTGATAAAAGGTTTTGTCAAAAATCTTTTTTACCCCAACAAAATCATTTCCCCTTGCCCGTTGGTCTTATTTCTACTACTCCGTATCATTTTGTCTGTTTCTATTTCTTCTTTGAACTTTGAAAATTACCCTCCGTGTCGGTCGGTCGGCGTTACGTAGTGTCGCAGTTGATAAAGACAAAAAATGCAGTAAAACTTGAGTTCAATTTTTTATTATTTTACAGGGAGACAACTATACTAAACATAGAGTCTTTGCAAGTATCAGGTCAGAGCTTCACCTCTGCTATCAATTTACAATCAATGTCTAATAAACTTTTTATAAGTGACCGTTTGACCGGATTTGAAGAGACTCTCGAATCTCGAAGATAGGGTTCTTCTTTTTTAAAAATTAGCCTCCATTCTTTATAAAATTTAATTATAATCAATTTCTTAAAGATGAAAAATAGTTATGCAGTCAACAAACTTTGAATGTCATTCCTCTCTTCATTCCAAATTTAACGCCATTTTGTTACCATCTTTTTTTGGGCTAACTTTCAACGTTCCTCGAATGTCATAATATAACATCAATCAATTTAAAAGCAAAGAGAAAAACACGGTAGTGAATGTTCTTTTTCCTTGTACTTTGTCTAAAAATTAAATTAGATTTAGTATCAAATTCATAGTTTAAATTCCATGTACCAAATAGAGCATGGACAATAGAACCGACACTATTATGTTACCTATAATTCTCTAATAATTGAAATAATATTCTTCCGTGCATCGCACGGGTGGTGTACTAGTTAATCCATTAAAACCTCTAAAAACTAGAATTACTTGTAGAGACTATTGCTCTATCTAGTACCATCCTCAAGAATTACCGTCCATTTTCCAGCCTAAAACTTAACCCTGATTTGACAAATCCAATTATAATTTCTCATTGCATAAGATTACCACTTAACAAAATTTAATTATTTAGAAAATCAAACGCTAATAAACTATCCAATTTATCTATTAAAAACCCTAATAACTGGAACTAATCTTTTATCTTTTATCTTTTATATATAAAAAAGGAGAGTTGGGTCTCTAAGAATCTGAAATGTGGCATGTTTATGTGGCCTTTTTTTAACACTTAACATGCCACCTAATTTCTCTTATAAAATTAAAAGTTGGATAAGAAATATTTGAGTAAACTTAAAAATGGAAAAAAGTCTTTCTTTTTATGATAATATGTTGTCCTAATTTTATACTTTTTTTTCTTTATATATTACAAAACATTTTAATAAGAAAAAATATACTCTCTTCACCGATAAATAAATTTTATATTTCTTTATGATACATGTAAATAAATGGAGTTAGTTTGATAATATTTATTTAAATATTAACACCTAATAAATAAATTATTGTTATGGTTTGAAATCTTTGAATAAATTTAATTATGAAATAGGAAAATTCATTTTTTTATAATAGTATTCTTTCCCAATTTAATATTTTTACTCTCTTCATCTAAAATTACACTTTTAATTAATTTTAAAACTACATTAAAGTATATTTTCTTAAAAATTACATTAAGAAATTTAAAAACAAGAAATGATTGAACTATAATTGTGTTAAATTAGAAAAATATATTATACATAACTCCATAGTTAGAATAAATTTTTTCTAATTTGATTTATCACTAGAGAAATTACGTTTATAGTCCTTAGATGATTTATTACATAAATTAAAAAATATATTATGTTTAATCATCTTCTATTATATAATAAAATTTATCAAAAAACTGTGTCACCATGAAATGCTATGTTCAAGCTAACTTTCTTTACAATTTCTACATCATTGACTGAATTTAATCTTTATATACTCCGTATATAATTTGGTACTTGAGCTTTTAGAATGACAACATCTGACATGCTGACGGGATATTTTTTAAACACCTCACGAGCCATGTCATCATTGACTTCTATGTATTTTTTTATGCATTGCCTTTAAGACTATTTTTTTAGGGATGACCTTTACGTCTTTGCGCAAGATCATATTTTCTCTGTTTCTTCTTCTGCAAAATTGATTAAAAGAATTTATGGTACTAATTGTTATAAATGTGTTACATTTATGAAATGTTCTTAAATACTAATTGTTATATTTTTTGTTAAAAAATTAAGTATTGTATTCTTATATGATTCACGCTTTATTTATAAAAAAAATACATAGAATTTGAAAATTACTCTGTATATAAGTTATTTATTGTTAAAAGATAGAAAACTATTTAATATCTACGTGCTAAAAGATAATATTACAAATATATAAAGGCAGATGAGTTATACATGGCCCGTAATGCTTTTTTTAAAATAAGACATGCCTTATTTATATAAAAATGTAAAAAAATAATCATCTTAGAACTTAACATTAATTTTTACATATTTTTGTACTCTTAAGAAAATCACTAGCAATTTGAGTTTGCAAAAAAATAAACAAACATTAAATTCATATTAAAAACAAAAAGAAATATGTAGGTGAAAGTATGATGAATAAATTTAATTTTGAGGCATTGGATTGTAGAATGAGAGATGAAATGATGTTCTCTAATAAAAACTCCATAAATGAACCATTCGGATGGAAAACGATTGTACTCGGAGGTAATTTTCAACAAATTCTTCATGTTTTCTCTAGAGCTTCGAGACAGGAAATTGTAGGTGCTACCATCAATTTTTTAAAATTGTGGTCGTATTGTAAAGTTTATATGTTGACGAAGAATAGGATATTGCATTCATCTACATCCTGTTACGCAAATAGAGACACACAAGCTTTTTTATTGGATAATAAAAATTGGAGATGGAAAGCTTGGACAAGTGATTGATGGAACAACTGACATTGAAATTTTGCCTAAATGCTTGATTCTAGACATGAGTTCCCCCTTAAGAATATAGTGAACTTCTTTTTTCCGAACCTATTGGAGAATAAGAAAAGTTATTCTTTTTTCGAGGACAAGCCACTACTGGCACCCATGCTTCAAGTTGTATAAATGGTAGACGAGTTTGTCATATCACTCATTCCCCGAAGATGAAATAATGTGCTTGAGTTCTGATTCTTCATGTCAAGCGGATCCAAATGTAGGTGTTGATGGCGATTGGATAAGCGTTGAGTTTTTGAATAAAATCAAATGATCGGGGATTCCAAACCACAAGTAGTTTTAAAAATGGGGGTACCAATTATGTTATTAAGAAACATTGACCAAACATATGAACTGTGTAACCGTAAAAGATTAATTGTTGACAAGCTGCGAAAGAACATTGTTAGTGGTATTGTGGTTTTGAGAAATTGAGTGGGGAAAAAGTTTACATATCCGGATGAATTTGGTACAATCTGATACATGCTATCCTTGAAGTTCGAGAGAAGACGA